ATGGTTTATGTGTCATGTAGTTTTAAAACCATCCCACATGCGCCTTATTTCAGTATAATTAATTTAAATTGCCACTGCCCTTGCTGAAAGGCAATCTCATCAACAGCAAAGTTTTGCTCACGAACTGTGAAAACAAATCATTTCCATCTGTATTTTCTTGCTTCTGCCTGTTACTTTCACAAACAGAGGGTGAATATTTTACCACCCAAACAGCATTTGATTGTCCTTTTAGCAAAGCTCCATTGATTACTCGGGAGCCAATTTCTTCATCGTCTCCATTTGTTTGCATTGTCTACAGCAGCCCATTAAATCAGAGTCGATAAATTACTGGTGTTGCTGTTAGCATTAGAGTAATTTATTGCGTCCATACTTCCTCAGGAAGAATAAGGACACTTTTGTCGTGTGTTTCATTGTCAGCTTCCATCACTCCTCAGTGTGCATGTGTGTGAGAGCGTGACATAGTGTGTGTATGTGTATGTTTGTATGGACTGGTAGCGTGATCGAGCTGTTGAACACTCCTGTATTTGTGTAACGTTGTCCATTGGCAGGTCGGCAGCTCACCATCTTCAACAGCCAGACTACCATAAAGATCGGTGGTGGCGAACGGGGCAGTCGGCCATTTCAGGGCCAGTTGTCTGGCCTCTACTACAACGGCCTGAAAGTGCTCAACATGGCTGCCGAGGGCGAACCCAATGTGCGCGTGGAGGGCAGTGCCCGTTTGGTTGGTGACTTGCCCTCCTCATCTATCACGCCCCAGTCTAGTGCCTCTGCCTCGGGCAACCGCTCTGAAGCTTCGCCCTCATTGACAGATATTACCACTACCACGGCATCCAACCGACAGGGCAAGCAGACCACGACACCACAGGTCAGTCAGCATTCTGTGTCTTATAGCTATGCTCATGACTGGTAATTAGACGTATTGGCAAGTATTAATGAAAATGAGCAATCATATATTTATACAGTATATTAGGAATAGTTTTTTTTTTTTAAAAACAGGGTTGCATGGTGGCACATTGAGTAGCGATGCCACCTCACAGTTCGGGCTCTTCAGTTTGAGCCTGATCTTGGCTTTGGGTTACTGTCTGTGTGGAGTTTCACATGTTCCTTCAGGTGATCACATGGGTTTCCTCCAGGTTTTTCAGTTTCCTCCCAGTATCCAAAAATATGCAGGTATGTGGATTGGGTATGCAAAATTTCCCTAGATTTGTATGTGTATGTACTGTATATGGTGTGTGTATGTACTGTACTGTATATGGTGACCTACGATGGATGAATTCTCTTGCCTTGTGTTACCAGAATAGGCTCGGGATCCAGAGTGACCCTGAACAGCATAAAGTTGTTACTGAAGATAAATGAATCAATAAATAAAAAAAAAAGCATCTGTAATATACTAACATGTTATACAGGGTGTCCCAAAAGTCTCCATACTTATGGGACTATATATCCCAGCACCACTTTGGTTGTGCCTTCATCAGTGGATGTTTGTGAACGTTCAATTCTCGGTTGGTCCACAAAGCTTATGGGATTTTTGAATTTGTTAATAAGTTTGGAGCAGTGTTATGTATGATGTGCTTGCCATGTTTCCTGTTAAAGCCCATCACAACATTGCGACAGCTTCCCGATCCAGCCATGAGAATGATTTTAATATGTTCTTCTTTTGTCAAAAGGCTATCAGAGATATCCATCCATCCATCTTTTACCTCTTACTCCTTTCTCAGGGTCGCGGGGATCCTGGAGCCAATCCCAGGGAGCATTGGGCACAAGGCGGGGTCATCAGATATATATATATATATATATATATATATATATATATATATATATATATATATATATATATATATATATATATATATATATATATATATATATATATATTGTGTGTGTGTGTGTGTGTGTGTGTGTATATGTAACTAGGTATGAAGAAGAAGACATTTTGCTAAAAAGTGGGACAAAAAGACTTTTGGGACAGCCTGTATAATTGATAATAAATGGATGTAACCACATCCATCCATCCATCCATTTTCTATACCGCTTATCCTACTGGGTCACGGGGAAGTTTGCATACACAGGGCTACATACAGCAATACATACAGCAACAGCAGTGTTCCTGTAGACTCCAACCCTGGAGGTGTGAGGCAAACTTGCTAACCACTAAGCCACCATGCACCCCTGATGTAACCACATATTTAAGCATATTTAGAGCAACAGCTGAGTTCCTGTGGACTTATATATTCTTTGGGAAGCCATGTGGCATATACTGTATGTTTATGAGAAAAATAGAGTACAGTTAATTTGTTGCACGGATGATTTTGTTATGTAGAAGAAAGTAAGTAGTTTGCTCAGTTTTTTGAATGGAAAATTAATGTGATGTTTATTTTATTCTAGAATATTTGCCCATTCTCTTGAAGGGTACCAATAATTCTGGATTTAACTATATATATTATTTATATGAATGATGGCTGGGTAGATGGACAGCTCCAGCTTTAACCGAGATCAGTGCCCTCCCATGCTGAGGGACTCTATTGGATTGAATGGAATAGCTGTAGGAAGAGTGGAGATTGGACAGTGACTATATGAGGTAAAGTCACATAAAGAGAAATGGGGGGAGAAATCGTTCAGAGGTGTGAACAGCTTTTCTCTTTTATTGGTCATTGAGATCTGCCCTCTATATTTGTCTGTATATTTCTCCCCATTGCACTGACTGTCTCTTGCTTGCTCTCTCTCTCTCACTCTTTCTTTCTCTCTCTTGCTGTCTCTCTCTTTCTGGTGCAGTGGGTGTTGTAGGAGGCATCACTCAGGCATTGACAGTGAACCCTAATTGTCGTTCTGTAATTACATATCAGTGCTAGAGGGTTGAGTAGGCTGATTGACAGCCCTGCTGAGGCCAGGCCAAGCTGATGGGCTTGTCTCATCATGCATGAAGCCACGTACTGTGATTCAGCCTCCATGACAATGAAATCATAATTTGCTGTGGTTAAAACTAATTCCAGGGCTTATGTATTAAATTACCTCTTGGCTCAAAGGCACCCCAGGCACGTTGTGGGAAATTGTTGGTTATACAATGGCGGATATTGTTTGACCTGTCACGGCTAAGACATAATGCCAGCTTATCGCAGCCTGATCTGAGCAGATCCTGATACAAAATGGTGGGCACACCGCCATGCACACAGGAGAATGTGATGTGGTTGCCATGGAAATGTACAACTCCACTTCTCTTTACACTACAGTGTCTACATTCTCCATTCTCACTCTGTTTTCTTTTTTTCCCTCTCTCTCTCTCTTTTTTCTCTCTCTCTCTTCATTTAGGAAATATCTAACACAGTAATTGTCCTTAAATGTTTAATCAGTGACGAGGGCTATAGAGAGCTGAGTTGGCATATGAGCTGTGTGTTCTCAGACAGACGCTGATTACAGATGTGTATAGTTTCCATTTAAGTACAAGAACCCTTAGTAATCACAACTAATATCCTGTCCTGTCTCCACTGTCCTTTGTTAGTGCATGTCAATGTAGAGAGATTCTCATCAGAACGAATATTTCAATCAGAGAATCAAGAGAAATGGATATGTGGAGTTTTTACTCCTTGGAAAATGTGTAGCGATTTATATTACTAGGGGTAGAAATGGCAAGTACTAAATGCCTATGTGGATTATTATTTCTTGTACCACACTGATAATCAATCATAAATGAAATCACATTTGCATACTGACCTCTATAAGTAAACACATTTGTCTTAATTATGACTTAGTACATAATTTTGTAAAGACAAAAAAATCTAAATTGTATTTACACCATGATGCATTGGTCTCTTGCAACATTGTGCAACATTGAACAAAATTACTGTACGCATTTTCTCACCTCCCCTACAGTGCTGCTTGGAGGTCAGACATTAACAAATCTGGAACATTTCTCTAACACGAAAACAATCATTCCAGCATAGCTTTCTATTGCTCTTCTTGCTCATGTTATGTTTTTATGTTGTTGTTGTTGTTGGGTTTTTTTTTTGTTTTTTGTTTTTTTCCAAACTAATAAACCCCTGTGGTATTTAAGCTTACTTAGATAGCATTTGAAATAATGACTAGTGGACAAAAGGTTTTCTGGGTTTCATTATGTAAAATAATCATATAGTGGGCATAATACTTCATAACACAATGCAATCAGAGAATTTTCAATATTTACAGTATAATATATTAATTCTGCAGCCAAAGTGCTTGTAAGACACAAAACTGCAGTAATAACTAAAACATACATGAATACATCATGTGTATATCGTGGGTCGAGCCTGGAGCCTATCTGTGGGAACTCGGGGTACAAGGTGGGAGACACCCTGGATGAGGTGCCAACCCATTGCAGGGTAATTCCTGTTATCACTTATGCTATAACAGCTATAAAACTTTATTTCCTCTCTTTATACTCTTCCTTGAAGTTCCTTGAATAAGAAAGCAAAGCTGTCAACTTAGGCTGTCGACTACAACACACTGACACTGGAGTCTTCTTCCACAAGTGTTAAATAAATGTCTTCATATAGAAAGCTTCATCAGTTCAACAGTATCAACAGTTATACATGTGTTTACTTTGTTAAATTACACGTTTTTAATCTGTTTATTATTAGCCCTGTGAATGAGCTGTTGCTATAGAAACAGTAATGTATTAAAACAAGTGCATTAATATAAACCTATTATTTGAATTAGAGCCAGCACTGCTGTTAGAGCTGCTGTTATAGAACATTAATTCATCAAAGCCATCTGGACACATTTGAGAAGTCCACAGTGCTGTGGTGGAAACAACGTTATTTAAGAAAACCCTCATGTGAAACATTACCTATATTATTTTCTCTTTTCTGTCTGTAGACTTCGTTTTCATTTCAGACTGAGTGGATTAGTGCCGGATAAATTAGTCATAATTAGTTTTTCTCACTGCAGAGCCTTTATTCAGGAAGGTATTTGGGGTTTTTTATGAGACCTGAAAACCGTGTGCTATATTAAGCTTTATGTTAAACAATGCACCAATGGTGTAGTGGTATCCGGCAAGGTTCCCGTTCTTGTGAACCAGGTACAATTCCAGCTGGTGCAGTCTTTCTGTGCGGCAGTGGTGGCCCAGTGGTTAAAGGCTCTGGGATACTGAACTTCAGGAGTTCATGCCCCAGCACTGCCATGTTACTACTGTTGGGCCCTTAAACCTTAATTGCTCAGTTGAATAAATGAGATAAATCTAAGTGGCTCTGAATAAGGGCATCTGCCAAATGCCATAAATGAATGAATTTAAATTAATGTAAAAAGCCACAAATAAACAAATGTTCTCAAAGGAAGAAAGCAGTTAAACGCACACATTGTACATCTTTAGTATTTGCAGGTGCGTGGTGGATGATATGTTTAATATTTCTGTCAGAAGCTGTCTCTTTCCTGTGAGTTGAGTTCAGGACGACTGAGCTCCGTATGTGCAGCTCAGTTTGATCACAGTTCCTTTTCATTTCTTTTCTTTTTGTTATCACTGTCTAGATGCCTTTTATTCCACCTTATCTCTTTCTCTCGCCATGCAATTCTCAGATGGAGCTTTTTTATCCCTGTGGCACATTATCTACCAACAAATTTCTCTATCTGTGGATGTGCATTTTAGCTCAGCAGGACTTAACTGACTGAAGAAATGTTTTTATTATAATAGGATAGTGTGCTACTTGCTAAACTTTAAATAATGCAGGAGGCATAATATACGTCATTAAACAGACCAGGATATGTCTCCTCAAAGATCCAAAGATCTGAGATGTGAGCACAGAGCGGTTGCCTGAGTGCACATACAGTACAGTATTCTCCTATCAGTGTGATCACAATGTATTCACTCTTAAAGGTGCTTCTATAAGAGAAGGTAGAATCCAAAGAACCCTATAGGAACACTTGAATTCTAAGAGTGTGTGATACGATATGGGAAACAGTTACCACTGATTATGATTGGATCTTTTTTGATCTTTTTTCAGTAAATCTTTTGGAGTTGACAAGAAGCTCTGTGTGACTCAGTGGGATCTAAATTTATCAGCAGTTTAGTGTCACAAGTCTGTCACCCACCTTCTCGTGAAGGCTCTAAAGAGTTTCCTGCCATTGCATCATGAGAAAAGAACACGGAAAAACTCAACCCTGTGTATAAATCCTTTAACCATCCAGGCTAAATGGCCTACACCACTCAGGTCTTGCGTATATAATGGATACTGATTTATTTATTTTTTTCCTCCACTTTCCTACAATGCACTATAGTCACAGGGCTTCATTTTCACTTCAATCAGCCGGTCAATAGCAGCGTTTGAGCTGGCAGTAAGTTGGTTAATGAAATGAGAGTCTCTCTCTCTCTCTCTCTCTCTCTCTCTCTCTCTCTCTCTCACAGACACACTCTCTCTCACTCTCACTCTCTCCCTCTACCTCCTCTTCTTTCTACATAGTTGATTCCTAACAAAATCTTTAACCACTCTTCCATCATATAGTTAACGTACATCTTGGTACCTTGATTGATCTATTTAAATTGTGTATTGTAAGTCTGCCAAAAATATAATATAAAAATGCAATTTTCATTGCCATTTTTCATCTTCTGAAATATACCCCCAGTCCCACCGCTACACCCGTCGCCATGGTGCTATGGCAATAGTTTCATTCCTTTTTATGAATTCATGAAATCACATTTATAATTTACGGCCGCACTCCATCACCGTGTGACAAATTGAGTCCCATGAGACAGAGGGTGGTGTAAAAATACACATGCACATAAGTACAAAGAAAGCACTTCTACTGTCTCTATGTGTGTCAGAGTATTAACATTCCCTGTATACACTGCAGAATCTGAGATTAAACCTGCATATTCTGTTTTATGGTTCTTAATATTGCTCAGGATAATGATACTCCCAGATGGAGAGACCCTCTTTTAGATAAAGCAATAAGGAGAGAGAGTGTGAGGAAGCTTGTACTGCAGTGAGCATTGTCTCTCAGACATGTTGATCGTCTATACCATGTGTGTGTTGTGTAACACACATTGCAAAACATTGCTCCCATTCTCATGCCTTTGCTGTGGAAGCCTATTTTAAGGGTATGTAATGTTTGATACTAAATTGTAGGTTGTATCCCTGTGAGAATTAACTACTTGGGAACCAATACTCATATAAACAGTTTTGTTTTTGTTTTGTTTTTTAAAGAAAGAAAAAAAAACCATGATAAACATTCTTAGTAACCAACCCTTAGTAACCTCTGGCTCAGCAGGGTTCCTGATTGGCCAAAGTTGGTCAGGTGATCCAGACAGACCGCTCACACTCTTACCATCTTTTTCCGTCTCTCTTGCTCTCTCACCCCCCTCTCTGTGTGTGTATATCACTCTCTTTCTCGTTTTCTCTCTTCTACTGCTGCTCCACTTGCCTTTCTCTCTCACTTTCTCTCCCTCTCTCTCTCATACTCTGTAGAAGGCACTGATAGGCTCTCCTGATGCGCAGACAATTTATCTTCCTCATCTCCTTACCAGAGTAGGACTTCTCCTGGCATCACTATTGATCTCACAGAGCGGACTGAATTTACGCGTGTTGCTTTAGGAGCAGAGACAACAGGAAGCGAGAAAAAGGGAAAGAGAAAAAGCCAGGACACACTCTTACTTAAAGAGAGAGAAAAAAAAAACCAAAGGCATCAGCTGTGTAAACGAAGCAGGCAGAGTAGCCAGGCTGCTATGGATGCGAGATGGCATTGTTCCTCATCCCAGGTAGTTTCTCTTTCTCACGGTCACTCACCCATCTAGTCATCTTCGCATGCAGAGGCTTTATTTTTTCATGTTCATGCAGTGGGAAGAGGCATGCACCTTTTGTCTGCACTGTGCTAGGAGAAAGATGAGGAGGAGAGAAGGCATGAGGAAAAGTTGTAGTGCTTTGAAAAGAAACAGTCGTTGATGCCGTTTCTTTATTCCAAATGCATCAGCATTGGTTTCTCTTCTGAAGCCGACAGTTGCTTTTTGTACACTGTACACTTCAATTCTTTACCCAGTTTTGCCACCATCTCTAGTTCATCCACCACTCCTTCTTTTCTATACAGCTTTCCCATTCCCATTATTCTCCAGACAGCTGTTCGGGGACTTATGTTATATACTGTAAAGTAAAAGACTGTTTGTACACCATAAGATCATCGAAAGTATGTACCGTTGCCCATGGCAACAGAAGATGTCCCATAAGATTGCAGTGAAAAACTGTGCTCATAAAGTCCAGCATCCCTCCAGCTGTAGCTCACTTCTTTTTGCCAGGGCTGGATTTGGTTACAGAGCCAGCTCGAGCTCTGGGGTTCTGGAGTTTCTTCAGCCATGTGGTTGATGTTTTTCTTCTACACAAACTTCACTGCAACTCCCTTATCCCTGATCAGTCTAAACATTTCACTAGCACGGTTATAAATAGGTAAAGATATTCTGCTCATGGACATTAAATTTGTAATGGGAGTCAAAAAAAGTAAAGGGAGTCATTCATTTCCTTACGTTCAGACAACATTTTATTTCTTGATGTCATTGTGAGGGTATAGGAGTGTAAGATGGATCACAGTTTTTATTGTTGTTGTTGTTTTTTTCTTGTGAACAGCCAGCTGTGATCATGCGCAGACGTTCTCATTCTCAGGCAGCCATGTTGATTTTCACCCCGTGAAAATCCAGTCTTTTACGACATTACTCTATTTCTAAATCCTAATGTAGGAGAAGAAGTGCAAAACAAGCACAGACATCAGCACTTCTTCCTTCATTACTTCGGTTTTAATAATTGCCATTGCCGATTTATGTCCCGATCTTGTGAAACCTTTTCCCTATCGCGGTTTCTATAAGAGGAACCGGCTGTGTGAAGAGATGAAGTCTCCGAACACAGTTCATATTCTATGTGTGTGAGCTTTAAATTTTATTAAAACATACCGCTCTCCGAGGTGAGAGGTAAAACCTGAACCAAGCTCTATTTAGCACCAGGACTGCTGCATGAATATTCACATCTCACTTTGATGTTATTACTCTCTTGCTCTCAGACTTTCTCCCGCTCTCACCCAGGAAGCAGAGAAAGAAATCAATGCGTGGCTTGGCTTTGCTTTGTGGGTCCCAGCTGAGCCACAGAGGGGTTTATTTTATTTTTTTTCGAGTTTTTTATTTATTTATTTTATATATTCTGCCATTTGTAACGGTCTGCATCTCCATGGCAACAGAAACAGACGGTCGTGCATGCTGAAGGTAGCACGAATAGAGAATAGAAGTGAATACTCGCACCGTCTACCGAGGAGAGAAAGAGAGTTCGTCAAGGATGAGCTAGGAATATGAGATACAGAAGATCTCATACTGTATTCCAACACGCCAACAGCAGGGTGTGAAATATAGATTGGGTTTTTAGAGTAGAGTATTATTATAGAGCTGAAACAAGAGCTATAAAAGGGAGACAGGGCATGATGACTATTAGTGACACATGGAAGGGGCTGGTTTGCAGTAATGTTCTTTTTGACTAGCCTGTTTGACGGAAGCTGTTAAAATTAGGCCCTGGAGGTACTGGGATAGTGGTTAGGGCTCAGGAGACGATGGAGAGGTTGTTGAGGCAGTGTCAGCTCTTTTCGCTTGGCTTTCTTTTGAACCGTGGCGCTCTCTGGCAGTTGGGGGGGTAATTGGATAGAGTGAACAGGGCTAGTGGTTTCTAATTAGAGCACAGCTGATTCTCAGTATGTCTGTAGGTGAGCTGAGCTTTTGCTTTTCCCTTTCTCTACCACTCTCACCGCTCTCTGGCCCACAGGCTTTCCCCACTCATTTGGTAGCATGTCAGACTTTTCGTTGTGCTTCATGGCTGTACTGTAATTAAAGAGAAACAGTGAAAACTCAGAAAAAGAAAGAACCTCTGACTGGATACCCGTATAAGTTCGATCAAGCTATCTTCTCTTCTTAGCTTTAACCCATATTCTGCCTCATTTTCCCCCATGTCCCCATGTCCAACTCAGCACAGCTGTTGAGTAGGCAGAGGAGGACGGTAACGCACAGCAGATGGAGGCTGAGAGCTCAATCTTAGTCATATTTGACTTTTATGGAGCCTCATGCTCACTGCTTATGTAATACCACA